TACCGTTGGTAATCATCGTAAGTTATTCCGTCTGATACGGGAAACAGGCAGCAGGAGACCTGGTGTTAGCGAGACCATACGCGACGAGAGTGGGCAGCCGATCCACAGCTTGTTAAAAGGTTTGGAGCGTTGGGCTGAACACTTTGCAAGGCAATTTAACCACCATGAGTTATCGCTTTCCTCTTCGGGCATTGAGCGCCCTTCTCCTAGGGCCGTCTCCTCGGATCCGCCCTCACGCGTAGAAGTCGAACGTGAGATCAGGATGTTGAAATTGCATAAGGCCGCAGGGGCAGATAGAATTCCCCCAGCCCTCTTCAAATTCGGGGGACCTGCTCTAATAGATGATCTACACGAGTTACTAGTAAAACTTTGGGAACAGGAGACTGGAACCCCTCCGTCATTGTCCCAATTTTCAAGGGAAACTCCCGTTTGGAATGCGGCAATCATAGAGGGATCAGTCTGATTTCGATTGCCTCTAAATTACTTTCCTCTGTCATTCTCCACAGACTGACTGGCACTCGTGAAAGCCAGATTCGTGAAGAGCAAGCCGGATTTCGTCGACGGCGGGGCTGCATCGACCACATCTTCACATTGAGTCAAGTGTTGGAGCACCGCCATGTTTATTGGCGACCCACCGTTGTCGTGTTTCTAGACATTAAAGGTGCCTTCGACTCAGTCGATCGATGTGCCCTTTGGGAATGTCTGCTGAGGAAAGGTGTGCCTGATAAATATGTAAACATTATCAAAGCGTTGTACGCGCATAGTTCGGGCAGGGTGAGGGTTTATGGCAAACTGTCGCCACCCTTCAGTATCACCAGCGGTGTGAGACAAGGATGCCCGCTGTCACCTTTCCTCTTCAACTTCGCTATTGATGAAGTCATGGAAACAGCGTTCGCTGGACACGACCTAGAAGGTGTGGAGCTACTTCCTGGTGAGCGATTTCTTGACTTGCAGTATGCAGACGATATTGCCCTAATCTGTGACAGCTCCCAAACATGCCAAACAGCACTGGACCGATTAGCACTGGCTGTCAATCGTTTTGGGCTATGCTTCGCTCCATCGAAATGCAAAGTACTGCTCCAAGATTGGCAGGGACCGAAGCCTGCGCTAACGCTTTGTGGTGATCTGCTAGAAGTCGTTCAGGAATTCAAGTACCTGGGCAGCTATATTAGCACCCGTGGGATTGAAGATGAGGTTACGAACCGTATAGCAAAAGCTCGAGGTGCTTTTGCCAATCTCCGCCACCTGTGGCGCAGACGCGACATTACTCTCGCCCTGAAGGGCAGAGTTTACAACGCAGCCGTCAGTTCAACTCTCCTATTTGGTGGTGAAACCTGGCCCAGCCGGTCGACAGACATAAAGAGGCTCGTCATATTCGATCATCGCTGCCTTCGCAGCTTAGCTTGTGTCTGGTGGGAGCACCGCGTGAGCAATGAGCGTGTTAGACGTCGCGTATTTGGTGCAGGAAGAGCGAGTGAACCGCTCAGCACCATTATATCACGCACCAGGCTCCGATGGCTGGGCCACGTGTTGCGCATGCCAGCACACCGACTCCCGCAACGTGCATTGTTTGTGCGTTGTGGGTGCGGTTGGAAGAGGAGGGGGGAGGCCAAGTGATGACTTGGTCGTGAGAAATGAAAACCCTCACTTCGAAGTTGGCCTCGGTTGGTGCATCCCGACTGCCTGGCTGGGGCCCTAAGGACGGCGAACACGTTTGGTTGGACACACTTGCTGATATGGCTTGGAGCCGGCACCAATGGCGTTGGTATTGTGATTTCCTTTGTCCATCCCCTCCTGTTTAGCATCCCCCTCCAATCACGATCTCACTTGTTAGGCATAATACGACTCTCTTTTACGGCAGCCAGCTGTTATCTCTCCAGAACGATGTCCATCCGTTACTGGGGACTCAGCGGGCTTGCCACTGTTTTCCTTTTCTTATCTTTTGTATTGCGGCACAATAGCTGAGGTGTTTTCCACCTCCAGCTAACGTGTAATGATGATGATGATGATGGTGACATCCGTTCAACTATCTGGAAGGCAAGTGTGAACGATGGATCGAAAGGTTAGCTACCTGGAGCCGTTTCATCAACATTATTTGCGACGGATTCTGCGCACTGGTTGGGGGGGACAATGTTGCAGACGAGGAATTGCTGCTCCACCGTGACATATATGCAATGGACTGCGTACTTCTGCTCCGGCCTCTGAGGTGGCTCGGGCGTATCAGCAGCATTTATTCGACATGGACAGCCAAGCAGCTGCTTTATGGATAACATAGTGCACGAAAACGGCATGTGGGAAAAAGGAAGTTACATTACCAGGATATGATCAAGGTGAGCTTATCAAGAGCTAATTTTGATTTCAGCTGCTGGAGGGGATGGACGTAAAGTGGCGACAATGATGTCAGCTTCTCAAGAGAGCTGTTACTCTGGTGCTGGAGGAAACACTGCTGCATGAGAAGTAGAAACGCCGGATTGGAAGGGACAAGCGTTAATGGTGTCGAGCATATCGACTTCAGGCTCCTGGTGCTGGAACACATGCGGTCGCGAGTGCCTGAGCCAAGAGAGCCTGGCAAGCCATCAGCTTGACCATGCCGGGCCAACCCCCAAAAGACGGCGAGTCAGCTGATTAGCTAGTCGGCGTCAGCGCTGCGTTTGTAAGTACGCTGCGTCCGATTATACTAAATTGACTAGCTCAGGCCACTAAGGCAGTTGATTTGGCACGTGTGCTACAACATCGCTATAGTTTGCCTGTATTGTGCTTGCGTGCTGAGATTCTTGCGGTTCAGGGGGTGGCTGTTGATAGATATCCCTGGTGTGGCTGCGCTTGATGTGCTTGCTGACGAGGCGCCTACCTGTCTTACTTCCTCTAGCTCGATTACTGGTTCCAGGGGACTATGGATCGTTGCTGGGGGGGACTGCTTGCACGGTCCTCGTGACGGTGCTAGGCTGAAATACTGGTTCCAGCTATTGTGGAACGTGCGGCTGTCCACCCACCACCTCGTGTACGTCTGGCAAGTTTGCTTTCTCAAGTAGGCATGAATGCTACTGTTGTACATGTTAAAGGAGTGTAGGCCTGCTCCACTGATGAAACGTGGTTGCCATTCATATGCCTCCTGGTCTTATTCCTGCAGGTTTCCACTGGAAGTAGGGTGTGTGGATGGCTCTGTGAGTGGTGCAGTGTCAGCCGTCCGTCTGTAGGTACATACGTCTCTTGGCTGTCCCCCTGGAGGGCATAGCCGTAAGCAACTCCGGAATTGAATTCAACCAACCATAAATCGGTTGCGTTTCTACTACCGAATCCATTACTACGACCCTATATTCAAACTTGTTACTTTGCGGCCATGCTATGCGTCTCTTATGTTCTGTTATCGTCATGAAGAGCTGTTTTACGTTTTGACCTATGTACCCGTATGCGCGATCTTGGTAACCGATTTTATGGAGGCAGTTAGTTATCCTATATGCGGGAATTGGGTCCCTCAAATGCACCAGCGTCAAGCGGAGAGTTTTACCCTTCTAGAATATCACACTTATCATTTCTTTGTTTAGTACTCTCCGGTTAGCCTCCGAACTTCCCATTTTACAAGGAATTCCTACCGGCCTACTGCGGATGCGGATTTTGTACTTTCTACAAATGGAATTACACTAACCGCCTCGAAAGTCGACTACAGGCAATTGATTCGCCGCCCCCATCCGGAGGTCCTTCCTATCCTTTTCCTCTAAGCACAATGTCTGGGTCAATTAAACAGAGATGAGGCGATCCCACCTTGCATGCGCCCTACGTGACCCGAACTATAGTGGAGTACGCCAGCCGTGTGCGGCATTTTACGAATTCTGGTTGCTTTATGATTACATATATACGTAAACAATGCAATCAATGAAAGTTGGTGTTTTATTGTAAGATTCCAATTCCACAGTGAGGTTTATATTCTTAACAAGAGTGCTCATGTGGTTTAGAATCTCATCTTTCTTGCACAGTCATAGGACTACAACTGCATCATCCCTTTAGTGCCCGCAGATTTTCGGCGACCTATTAGAGTCATTCAGCGTCTTCTCTTCACAATCATTCACTTGCAAATTTGTCACTATGGGGTATGTTGGTGAGCACATGACAACAGCCTGTTCCTAAGTGTGTCAGAATGATTGGAAGTATAGTAGGGCACCATGTCATTCTCTCGATTATTTGCTCTACCGTAAGCTTAGTCCACACTCCCAAGTTATCCTCTCCCGTCACAAAGTGCTTTGTTATCTGCAGCGCGTTGGCTTTTTACACTATGGAGAAGAGCGAGTTAACGTTGAAACCGACCATCGTTTCATCTGAGTAGTACTTAGGAAGCGACGCGTTTCAGAATAACACCTGAGAGTTATTTCTGAACATTTTCGTTATCCCTGTCAACAGTTGCGATAGGTTAACGAAATACCTAGCTAGTTCGTGCACTGAGGCATCTATGCCATATACGATAGGCTAAATGAGTAGGTCAGAATTGTGTACCTTTATTAAACCGTACATCTTCGGTGGAGGGGTTAATTTCGGGTATATGCAATACCATTTGTCCGCCTTTAGTTTCTCTTCACTGTTTCTTAACTATTCATCAACCCCTCACTTTTCCTTATTCACCGCTGAATTCACAGTCTCATTGTCGATTACTTTATAGGGTCCCGTCAACGGGTGCTCCTCCTTCTTTTCTAACTAATTCTACTTGTTCATTATCGCTGTAGTCATGAGTTTATCGACTTACGTGTGCTGAACTCGTTGCTTGGACCACTTGGGACTGTTTCGTGCATCACTGAAATGGAAGTTTGACCTTAACTACGAATACCCTTCCATCTACATCCCAGTCGTCATGATCATCTTCCAAGATTGCCGGAAGGTTTACTCCAATCATCCACTGGCTCGGTCGGCCAAACGAGGTTTTTTGTGTCAAAAGCGGTACGGTGCTTACAAAAATGGCCAACCAGTTGCTTTCAAACCATTCAGAAGTCACGTTGAGCATTCTAATCTCACTACTTACCTGTGAGGGTTGTTTCGAGTGAGGTGCATCTCTCAGATGCCGAGCACAGCTCAGTAACAAACGACCCCATTCCGGACCACAGGACGGGCTGAAATGTAATGATGACTTGTGCAGTGAGTTTTTAATGGGTCTGAACAAATGTGAAGCAAAATTATGACGCACGTAAATGGAGTCACCGAGTTGACTCCTCAAAGTATGTATTAACGGGGAAACCGCTATCTCTTAGCGACCTACTAGCTGAAACTCAACATCTCCTGGACAGTAACATAAAACCAAAAAAAAACTTTGAAAGCAGTGTAATGAGGCTAATTACATATGTGTACTGGGCAATACTGGACTTCGTCTTTTCTTCTGCTAACTGAGCAAATACACGAGATTCAGGAACGGACACCTCTGCCTTTTCTCAGACTGGTTTCTGTTTTGTTGCAGTGGTGGTAACAATTCCGCTGTTTATCGCACTTCTTTGTGTCAAAACTAAGGACCATAAATCAAGGAGATAAATACGTTGAAAACCATTTTCCGCGGCGAATTCACTGCCAGGTCAGATGAATTATACAGTAGGCAAGGATGTAGCACCACCCTGGAGAGACAGGTCACGTCGGTCGCAGTCGAGGCACGGATTCAGCGGACGTTTGTGAGCAAATATTTCGAATGCCTGGGTGGACCGAGCTTCATCAACACACAGCAAAGATAAGTCATTGCGTATCGGGTTAATTCAGTAACGCAACATTAACTGGATTCCAGCTTCCCTTCACATCAGTTCATAAGACAACCCTTTGGTAAATTTTTGCGAATTTTGGCTGTAAGCTAGGATCTTACATTTGAAGTATGCGCTAAGAGTGGTAAAATGATAATTGCTTATTTTTGATTTGAACTGCGAAACAAAGTATTCAAGGTTAATCAGAGTACTGCGGTTTACAAAGCATAAACTAGTGCACATTTCGAGCACCAGCATAATCTTGGATGAGTTGACTATATAACTGCAAAAACTGGGATCACGCTCACATTCTCGATCGATGGCGCGTACTGTATTAGGCGGGTGACCAGTGGGTCGAATAACTTCGGATCCATGGGACACGAGTTCTTAGCAGCCTTGCTGAGGAGTATCATATTGAAATCCTTCCAAATTTGCTCACAAGGGATGCTGTAGTGTAGAAAAATGGTATAATGGAACAATGATATACTATAGCTAAAAATGGCATGGCAAGAAAAATCTCGTGGGATGGTTAGAGTAATTTACCTGAGTACAAAAACGAAGTCAAACCAAAGTCAAACGCCGTCTGTGGGCTCAGCATATTTTCCATGTTAACACACATTTATATTCTTCTAAGTCAATTTCGTAGTTGTTGATGAGCACACTGGTTGTCTGCACCTTGTCATCGCCCAATGAACGGAACTTAAATCAAATACTGCTGGCGGTGTAATGCCCTGTCAATTCGTTATTACAAACGAATAGTGTGGGCGCATAATTGACAAAGATCGAAAGAGCGTTCCAAGCCTAACTCATTTGAAAGGAAAATTAGTTCCGGCAGCATTCTGGCCGACTGTATTGGGTAGTCAGTTTCAGTCCGTGAACACTCCCTTTTGTGTTGCGGCTAGTTTTCAGGAGGTAGCTTCGAGCATGACTGGTATATTTCAGCATCTGGTACGCTAAAATGAAATCACCCTGTAGACCAAGATAGCTTCCGCTTTACAATTCTAGGGGTTTCGCTCATTGATATTATAGCACCTGGAATAATACCTGAACATTTTTGCTTGCTCCACGCTGTGTGGTCCCCAGTGCAAGCAGATAGCCTTTAAGTAGGTTTATCAGGCCTGAATCATTACTCTACATGGAGCCTCAAAAACGCATCGAGATTTTGGGGAAGATAGATGTGTCGAAACGGCTGAACACACTCCGTAAGAGACCTATAAATACTGCACCGAACAGTTGTGTTTGTCTTACATCACTAAGAAAAGGTCGTCTTCCGGTGAGGTGCTTTTCAACATGTTATCTCCAAGCTTATTTGCGCTAGCGGGCTTGTGGCGCACAAGTACGGTTTTGCATTTGCCCGCGTTGAACGGAGAAAACTCTGCCTACCAAAAGTTAAAAATATGGTGATATCGTAATATTCCTGACTACCGATCACAGACCATATCTTAATGTCATTGACAAACAGCATGAAATTTGACTCGATAACACGCGCTAGATCGGTAATACATACCAAGGATAAGCGCGGTCACAACTCTGCCCCTAGTGGAACACCGTAGTTCACATCAATATGATCAGTAAGTGGGCTCGTAACTCCAAACTAACACCGTAGATGCAAGTGGAAGTTTCCGATTCATTGGGTGAGAAGGTCCACGATTCCGTAGGTTTGCAGCCTTTGAAGAAGGATGCGGTTAGCTAGTCGGTTGAACGCTCTAGAAAATTCGACGTAGATGACATTAGTCTCACCATCCGATATTTCGTCCCAACTGCCACACGCAATCAGTAGCTTGGCAGTACATGACCGCTGATGACGGAATTCGTATAGCTCCGACGCTATGATATTATACTTTTTGAGGTGGCCCACGAGCGCCTAAATCCACTACGTTACGATTGACATTACTGGGAGAAGTATCCTAGGCGATAGTTGGCGGGCTCAGATCTGACAAGACCCTATATCCACATGTTTGGAACGAGCTTTTCATCCAGGTATCTTCGGAAAACTTGTTATTGGCCTAGCTATTCTTGTAGTTACCCTTGTAGAGATTCCGGAGAGATGTTGTCAACGCCAAGGAAACTATGCGTGCGGAACGATAACAGCTTCCTCAAAACGGTCAATGAACAAAAGGTGACTATGGGGGAACGGGACAGGTACGTGACAAAAGCTGTTGGCGCGTCGGAATATTGAAGCATATTGGAGCCGCAGAACGTTGGTTATATCCTCGGCCGTTTGAGCACATCCATTTGCTGAGAGAAGTGAGGAACACCGTGCTTCACATTTCGGACGCTGTTCATATATTTGTTTAGGAATTTGTTGTTCGCACAGAACAATTCATTGAAGCCCTGCCGGTGTACTAATTTGTCCGCAAGGACAAATGTGGTACGAGTGAATAAGAGTTAGTAAATAGTTGCTTAAGTTGTCAACGTCAAGGTATCCTCTGTAAACACCATGTTACGCCTCTTACCACCGTGCGTTTTCGGGTTCGGATCCGAGTGAATAATGGTGCTATAACAGTTTGGAAGAGCTTGTATACCGGTGCGGATTTTATCGAAACACTGTACATGCCAGCAAACACCATCTAGGTAGTATAAATGGAAGCATCATCTGAAAAGTGTCGGATAACACCTCCAGTGAGTTCTGCTAGTATGTTGCGGTGTATGATTATTCGCAATAAGTCTGTATATTGTTGTGAATATTCCGCATACCACACAGTCGTGGAGTATGGATCCGTAAGCATTCAGAAGCAGAGGACTCACCGTCCTTGGTTTAGTGATCTTGAGTTCTTCGCTCGCGAGCACTAGATCAAGCACAGTTGGTTTATTTCCTGCCCTAAATGGTGTTGGGCGAAATGACATGGCTGAAGAGTGGAATGCTTGCAATGATCTCTTGGAGGTTAGCCTTGATCTTCTCGTTGGGAGATGCCGGAACTTCTAGGTTGCCAACGTTAAAGTCACCTGAGATGAGAACATGGCTATATCCTCGTCGTAGCACCCTCCGAAATAAGGGACATGCCAGGTATCGCGACGTCGGCGTCGGTAATTTCTGAGTGTAGCAAGTCTCGGTCACGAATATAATTTCCCAGCCGAAAGATGCCCGACGTAGCTGCAATTCGGCAAGTTACTTTAGGAGACCTTGGGCGTCCGTGTACACGTAGAAAAGTTTATCAGTTCTAAGTAGTGCGTTGGGGGATGTGCGTTGTGTCGATCGGTGAAGTGTCGGTCACCAATCAGCGGTGACGAGCACGTTTTTACCAAATTCAGGGATCCCACTAATACCTCCTTGCCCTACCCTTTGAGTGTAATGTACGCGTATGAGCGCCAGTTTCCTTCGCTATCTGGTTGAAGTGATCCGAAATGTAGTCGGAATGTGGTATGACCAAATGGTTACTCTCGTGTGTTTGCCTGGGGGACGTTGTTTTGTTCTTGAGATCTGAAGTAAGGCTGCTTCGATCCGCATAGCTACCCTCTAACACCTTTATTGACATTTACCTGGATTCAACCACCTGTTTCATAATCCGCGGGTCAATTCCTTTGTATTTTGTTGATCTGGGCGATCACACGACTGATTGCCCTTGAACGTTGACAGGGTTAGGGCTTCTTGGATGTAGCACAACTATTCCTGCTCGTGGGAGGTCGCTTCGTGATCATCAGGACTTCTATCCTCGGAAACACCGTGCCAAGTGTAACTGTGTTTACGGATGCTTTCCAATATTCTTCCAAGTTTTGCGTCTTCTGCTTACGCTTATCCACAAAAGATCTGGAAAGATGCGGGGGAGCGTGTCTCATTCCGGTTGCGAGCTATCCATGAGAGGAATGCCTTTGCTTCATTGAATGAAATCAACACAAAACGGAGAGGTTTCGGTTCATCGAGTTGCTGCGATTATCTGTAACTCTTGACTTTTGTGAATTTGGTGAAATGTAATACGACGCCTAGAATGTCACAACTGAAATTCCACTGGTTAACATCCTCGAGTTGTTTTTCTTTTAAGGGATTGGACGTCGATTCTGGAGTCTTGGTGCAGATTACAGAGGACACACTATGTGTAGTTTAGGTTGACTGCCCAGCTGGCATGCATACAACCGCTGGAGGATGTTTAACTACAGCTTGAAATTATTCAATAACTTTGGGTCTAGTTGGACCAACTGAAGGCCTAATTTTCCGGTTGCCTGGTAGCGACCAAGTATGAGTCACCACTGGTGACGAGATCCTTCTGAAATTTTGGAAGAAGATGGAGGGTAGAAGCGACTTTGGCCTTACGTATTCCAGGCGGAGTGGCGATGTTTAGTTCGGGGCGTATCTGGGCAATTGGTTGTATGGAGGTCTAAAGCCACAGGTGACGAATTTTTAACACGCTGCCCAGAGTTTATCCCTCAGTTCTGCAGCGGGGCCTGATAAAATGAGTGGAATTGTCACTCTATCAAGCTTCCTGCAAATGAATCGATGTTGGCGTTTCTCATTTGTCAGATCATTACCACCCGTCTTTTGTGTTTCAACGATATTTCATTGACAGTCTTTACCAGTGGGACGACCAAATATACTGCACCGAATGACGGTGATATGAGTTACAACAGTAATACACATGTAGTTTGCTGTAAGCTTAGAACAGCCAGAAGAATATATGCACTGGTACTTGTAACGATCGCTTATCGTTCACACATTTTTGGCATGAAAGGAAGCCGCCTACTAGTGTAACTTCTACCGCCGTAGACTGGATTTGTGATTGTTACAAACCATTGTGTCCATCGATATTTCGCAAGTCAACGGCCGTAAGTGTGGGTCTGCTTAGCTGTCCTCTACGTCATAACAACGGACTTGCCTCCCGCTCTTTAAATTTCAATGGAGCTTCCGACTAAAAATGGAGTTAGAGGTCTAGGAGGGCGCAGGTACAGTCGTTTGAGGCATTAGAGCCGGCTCGAAGTACCGAAAGAGCTACATGCGGTGTCAGAATGCGTGAATGCTCCCAACAACAAGAAGCGATGGAAGTCGAACGCACAATACAATTCGTAAACATAGTGGCTAAAGGAAACAAAACAGTACGGCTGATTTAGCAAACATCATCCTGTTTCGCGCTCGTATAGGAGTGCATTCTGCTCATAGAAGCCGCACACAGTGTACGGTAGCCAGCAGTCACTCACAGAATCAACGCTTTGTCATCTCAAATGACTCGAAATGAGCTGCTAGGATAAATCGTCCTAAAGAGACATTGCAACAATAAAATATGTGCGCGGTATTTGCGGCAAATGCCGGATACCAACGCCCCCGCTGCCACCAATGGGGGGGGCTCATAATATGTGATAACCAACCAAGCCGCAGGAATTTGAAACACGTATTGCAAGGGGAGCCGGATTGCTCAGGAAGCCTCCTATCACTGAATCTCGTTGAAGGCATTTGTAACATTATAACTAAGTACTTGTGGCAGGATATGAGGTAGCGGTATCCCGGGATGCTCCAGGGC